CTGGTATTGTCAAAGCTTTTACAACTCACCTCAATGGCATTCACACAAAAAGACAAACGACAAGAAAAGGTAACGGCAAAGTGAAAAGGCAGAAAATGAAGCCTTCTTTTCAAAGCAGATCAGACATTCATTCAAAAACAACAGAGATTTTTAATGTGAGAAGTGTGATGAACAGCTTTAGGAGTCTTGCAGACCAGCTGGTTGATATGGATGATATTCCAGCCATTATACTGAAAGTATAGATGCATACGTGGAAGAGTGTGAGTTGTGATACTCAGTGAACAGCATGCAGAACGTTTTTCTGATTGTTGCTTTGTGCAATTGTACAGTTCAGGTCAGAGAATCACATGTTGGAAAGTGAAGGGACTTTCAAAGGGCGGCTGTTTTCACATGCGACTCTGCTGCTATGGCTGGGTGGGTGAGACATAGAATGTAATATGATGCAATATTGATGATAGCCCCAAGATCTCAGAGGTGTTCTGCAGTAATAGAGCTGCTTTGATTGATGAAAAACTTCAGGCAAAATGTCGGTGCCTCCGAGGTCTTCATCAAGACATGAAAACTTTGTGATTCTCTGAAATGAGCTCATCCTCAAGTGGAGATGTGACATTTCAATTTATCATTCTGTCTCCTTGTAATTCTTTTCTTCTTTCTCATATTTGAACTAAAGTCCCAATGGTTTTAACTGTATTCACTGCTTTGCAACTGCATGACATTTAATTGCTATCCTGGAATGTGTGTGTGTGTGTGTGTGTGTGTGTGTGTGTGTGCACACAGCGACCAACAAACACGCACACACATATGCTCGCTAATATCAGCCGTTTCTGTCAGATTTCTCCAGAGGATCGTAGGTTTGCCGTGCCTGTCACCCAGGCTTTGTGTGAGTGTGTTTGAACAGAGCTCTGCGTTTGCTTGTGCAGGCACTCTAAAGCATCTGTGTTTACCGACTGAAGTGGGAGCAGAAGATTGAGCGAGATTGAGATAGACAAACCGTGGACTCTCACTGACATGCCAGACTCTGCAAAGAAAACAAACACCTCTTTTGACAGTCTTCCCACACTAACCTGACCTGCTACTCTATTCTTCACTGGCTCAGTATTTTGTCCATGCACTGGCATCACTGATCAATTTTAAATTGTGCTGCATTAGATTTGCTGAACATTTAATTGGATTATGAGCAATTGCAGCAGTGCATGTATAATTCCATCACATGAAAGTTGTTCCCTTCCTCTAAAACTCTCTCTGTCTTGATGTAAACAACCAAGTTATCAGTTTGAAATGGAGTTTAGATTGGGCCTAAAAAAAAGTCCAGTCTGACCCGGTCCGAGCCCATAGACGACGTGTCTGAGCTCAATCCAACTAGACTAATTAACTCTAATTACAGCCCTGAGCCTGAAGTAAACATACATTATTATTTTAAGTTGCTATCAGTCTAAAATCAATTCCAGACTCCTGGCTTTGCTCTTTTCTACCTTATTAGCGTAACTTCTTCCATTTTTAGCTTTGTTTGGCATCTTCCAGCTTCGTTTTGTCACTTGTTGTAACCACCAGGGTGAGTCGGGTACAAATCTGACTGATTTGAGTGGAGCCGGGCTGGGCAATGCACATTAATTGTGCAATGTGCTGCACAACTATTGCACATAGTATAGATCTAAGCTATAATTTGAAACTAGCGCAAAGTAGGGCTGGACGACATGGCTGAAAAAGTATCATGATACAGTAATTTCATATAATTTGATGTCGATAAATATCGATTAGTTTTTGTTTTAGATATCTGAAATACTGCTAAACTGGTGAAGTGACTTTCCCTGTTTTATCCATAATTGAGCTGCTGTATTAATTTAGCATGAGACATCTGTAGTGGTTTCCAGGGCTGAAACAGGACTTTTGACCACACAACAGCAAAGGCGTAACATTGATTTTGTGTAATATAACTTGCCAAATCTTTGTCACACTTGGAAAAACATCGGTGTAAAGAGCAGATCCTCTGCTTTCAAATAATATTGTGTTTGCACTTGGTGACACAAACAGAATCATTTACGACAGAACTGAGTTTTCTTAAATTGGCTCATTCTTTTGCATTGACTCTGCCATCCAAAATATGCCACACACTCTCCATATGGTTGTGGTTGGGACAACTCTGCTTCTCAAGCAGTAACAGTGGTTTGGAAATAAACCCCAAGCCAAAAATACTTATCAATTTGTAAAATGTTCTTCAAGTACTTCAGCCAGCTTTTTTTTCCTGGTATTTGGAAAACCCACCTTAGAATTTAAAGTTCATCTCCTGAGAACATTTTTAAATGGATATATTCACACATTGTCATCACATTATCAGTTTCAATAACATTACACAGGATTGTTTTGACTGCAATAGTTTATTCCAAGAGTAATGAATTAAGGGATTGCATTCCAGTCATATGACATATTCTGCCATCTGGATGATGTGCAGCTGGTGTTGATGCTCGTACCTGACAACAGAGAGCTGGCAGCAGTGTGTTGAGAAATGAGGAATAAAGAGTGATACAGAATTGGACTATAAAGTCATTAATCATATAATTTTGTATTGCTACCCTGTCTCTTTTTTTTTTCTAAATAACTAAAGCTTTTACTTTTGGTATTCCACTGTATTCGTTTGACTTCAGATTTTAGTGTATTAAGTTGACTGTAAGAATATTTAATCAGACCTATCTTGAACCATACTTTGGGATCAGTCACAGGAACTGACTTGCTTCATAAACAAACCCAGTGCGGTTAGTATTACTGGTTTGCTTTTTTCCATAAACGTGTTTATGGTTGTTTGGCATCTCTTCAGAGCATCTCAGTTTTCTTCTTGTCTCCAAAGCAGCGTTGTACTTAATGCTTACGCCTCAGTAGACTCAACTTCAATTTAAATTTGCACGATGCAAATCTGCCTTTATATTCCTGTCAAAAGGCAGTAGCTCTTTGCTGTCATTCTCCTTTGTTTGGGTCTTTCTGAAATCTGTCTCTTCATTTGCCTTTTAGTGAGTTGTTTGTTTCAGCATTTGACTGAGAGAGCTTCAGTCTTAGTAAAAAAAAAAAAAATGTAAATGAAAGGCGGATCAGTCACCGTAGAAATATGGAAATTATTCATCAGCGGAAAAAGCTCCAAAAGGGGAAACTGTTAGTGAGTTTGAGTCAAGCAGGATTTCTGGGAAAGAGTGCTGAGTCTTTGTTATTATTATGGTGAGACAGCTGGGAAACACATGCTACAAGGTCATAGGGCCACATGAGGTTCTGTTTCGCTATGTGTTTAGTCTGTAAGGTCCGTGACAAGGTTTAAGTATTGAGACAACTGGGCAGTGCATGTCTTGAATGTACAAGTCTGTTATTATCCAAAGCCTCACCTTAGGACTTTGACAAGGTTTCCCTTTCCCACAGCTTTGCTCTTGACTCAACTTGCTGCGCCAAAGATTGGTCACAGAGAGTACGGAACTACTTGATAAGTTAAGGTCAGGTTGCATGACTGAACATCCCCACATTCACAGGAAGTGGTGAAAGAAATAAACCTTTAGTCATCCCCCCGCCCCCAGCATCACCCTCCCTTAGCATTCACAAAATAGTTTTTATCTTGATAATATATGAAAAACATGTCTTTGTTGAACTCTCTTTTATTTTCCCCATCTGCCTCTTGTTTCCAGTGACAACTGAAATTGTGCAAATAAAGTGTAGACGACAGCGAACCGCCCATAGCAACCTGTTTTACAAGCAGCTTGAAAGATGGACTCAAATGCCAAATTCTAGTGATGTGTACAGAAAAGCTATTGTTATGTGTTGAGAGAAAAAAAAAAGATTAAAGCAATTATTTTCTATAGAGCAGCAAAATTGAGCTCTACGGCTTATATACTATGCATATTAGTTTTATGAAAGATTGCATGTATCAGATTAAAAAAAGAATCAGATCAACAGTGTCAGATCACCAACCCACCTCCTACAAACAAATAAAGATAAGAGACATTGTGTGAAGATTAATTATCATGCTGTGAAATATTATTATTCCGGATGTAGCGATCAGAAAAACATTGTTGGCATCAAAGGATAAATATTTATTAAGCCCTGACAAAACACTCTATTACTTCCTGTCCTTCAAAGGAGACGGGATGTTGTGGTTCCCTGATGTGAAAAATAATTACACAGAGATGACATGGTGTTTGATAGCCATCTAATATTCCTGCTGTCTTTCCTCATCACTTTGAAAATAATATACAATAAAACTACTGTTCACTTGAGTTAGAAGAAAGAAATGTCATGATTTCACAGTGATTCCTTAAAATCACATTGCAACCTTTTTCTTAAAATAAATTTTAAGGTTTACTATGTTGCTCAAATCTAGTTCCCCCTATCAAGAACTAGTTCTAAGTCCAGTTCACACAGGTTAAATCAAAGATAAACAGTTTGAACAAAGTTCCCAGTCTTAATATAAACAAAATATTTTCATGAAATAAAGTCTTAATTGATTTATGGATCAAGATACATGAATAATCTTACATTTGCAACTTGGCCTCTTGTGTCGTCTTTGCTCATAAAAACTGTGTTTCATGTGTTCAAGCTCTCAAAAAGGCTGTTCTCATTCACATATTTTCATATTTTTTAGAAAGCCAACGGAGCACTCTTAAATCACTATGAAGTCGTGTCTCATAATTAATAAAATTTTGATGCTGCATAAACACATCAGCCGACAAATCATTATTCAAAATACGTGCTATGATTTCAGCTACTTTTACTCTACTAAAGTCAAAGAGCAAAGTGAGAATAATTATAATACATCAAGCTGTGACTTAATTCCTCTATTTGTCACTGCTGTAGCTCCAAGCTCCCGCTCTGTGAGTTGAGTTGAACTTCTAACCTGTTGGATCTTCAACTTTATCCACTTTTTCTGCACAAAGCAACATATGTTGTTCTGTTTCGGAGACAATATATGTTTTTGTGTCCTTTGTAAATCTGATATGACATGTGCATAATGCCACTTATTGTATTGCCAGATCATCGATAATGATGACACCCAGTTCATGACCAACTGCCCTCCTGCGGTGACGGAGAGCACACCTCGCAGAAGAACCAGGATACAGGTCTTGTGGACCGCACCACCCAGTGGTACTGGGTGTGTTATTCTCAAGTAAGTTTTATTCTCATCTAATTATTCTCATACCTTTATGTTCAGAGCTACAACCGACGATGAGTGACAGTTTTCCATTAAATATTAGGGTTGCAATATAAAAAAAACTAGTTGGATTTAATATTTGCATGTATATTAAGATAACAGCAATTAAATAACTGTTTAAAAAAACAAAAACAAAACGTGTTTTAAATTTTTTATGTAGTTTGTTTTCTGCTTCTCATTCAAATTTTTGAGTTGAGTTTGCTATATTAAAAAGAAAAAAAATGTGTTGGGACTATTATTTCTACTGAAACAAAGCTCAACATCTTAATAAACGAAGTTCCCATTTCCCAGGCCCAGTTACCTTTGACCTTACAAGCAGGTGTCAAGTCGGTGACTCCAGGTGTTTTTTTTTTTTTTTGTTGTTTGTCTTTTTTTGTCTAGCAGCACAGCATACCTTAGCTCTTGTAAAGGGATGATCTTCACAACACAACTAAAGATGATTACTGGGTACAATTTGTTGTTTCAAACAGGTGTGACTTTGAGCATCAGCGTTACTTTCAAGTTGTACGTCTGCATTATGTGTCTCATCATTAAAGTGGGTGCTCAGACTTTAGAATAAACACTTTAAAATGTCAAATAAATATTTGCTCAGAATAGTGTGGTGTTCATGTTTGAGGATTTAAATGGCTGTTCAGGACCGTATCATTTTATAGCTCCATTGAAAAACAATGCCATTTTTCCCTGTGATTTTTTTTTCACCATTGGTGATGGTCTGGGAATATTAATCAGATAAATGACATTAAGCAGCTATTTAAAGGTTTATCCTGACAATTAAATTGCTCAGTCTGACTGGAAGTGTGCATATTGCCTATCAGCTATTAGTAAGTGACATTTTGCTTTAATGAGAGTTGGGTGGCTCACAGGGAGCTTTGCTTTGTGGGAGGAGATAGATTGCTTGGTTCCTTCCCTCTGTCTTTTATTCCTTCCTTCTTACTGTCCTTCCTTCCTTCTTTAGGTCAAATTGTGGAATCAACAGGTGAGACAAACCCAAACTTTCTTACCAGAAACCGAACCACTCACTTCTGAACATTTAGAGGATTTCATTCAGTCTAATGAAAAAAAAAATACTTAACATAAACCAGTTTAAAAATAAAGACAGTTTGTGGTAAAAGTTATTTTTGTTGCTCAAATGGGTTGAGTGATGAAATGATTTATGGTAAATTTTGATTGAATACAGCAGACTTCATGACATTGGTGTTCAGCCTCTGGACTGTTATGATAAACACATTTATTTCCAGCATGTTTTGTTTCTAAAAGCAGCAGCAGGCTGTTTTACCATTGAGTAAAAAATTGGTTCGTTAGAAAAACGGAACAGAGCCAGAAGAGCGAAACGTAACAGCCCGGAGGGACTGATTTTCATGCACATCAGCTACAATTTGTGCTTCTGTAAATGTAATATTCTCTGATAACAGAAAGCACTTACTATTAATACATGATGAGATGTTATTCAAGCAATGTGCCAACAGAAATAAAACAAACGCGCACGACATGGAGTGATGGCACTGCACATACCTTCAAGACATTTTTTGACAAGTAAGAAATGTAAATGATAAACAAGGTAAACCTCGCAAAGAAAAATGTTTCTCCCTTGTTCATTTCCGTCTCCCTTTCTGACTACCTGAAGGGAATAAACTCCCTGACATGCATCTTTTCCTCCACTGAGCGATAAGCTTTAACTTGCCCTCACCTCCACAGCACAAGCACAGCTGTTGCTTTTAATTTATCTACTGCCGTTGTTTGACAGATGGCATGTAGCCATCTCCAGTAATTACTGGTTCAATAAATCTGACCCTGTGTTGTGGAACATCTGCTATTTCAAATTCACCTCATATTACTGTCACAGTTGTCCAAGATGGAGATTTAGGATTACCTCATCTAAACTCTCTGCATTGTAAGTCTTAATTTTACCTTGTTAGGCTATTTTTGTTTCCGTCTACAACACTATGTTAATAGGCCACACTGGAGTTAAAGTGATTAGCCAATGTTTAGATTTCTTTAAATGTTTCAGACCATCAAGCAAATTCTCATATCAAATAAAGAGAACTGAATAAATACAAACTGCAGATTTAAATGCTGGATTTCAAACAAGCTATCAAATTTAAGCTCACATATGTAATCCAAAAGAAAAATACTTAAATAGAAAATGTCAAAAAACATGAAGTAGGTGAAAAAGATAAAAAAAAAAACAACACATCGCTACAATTTCTAAATAAATTCAAGAATAGATTGGAAACAAAATATCTGTCCCTTTTGCCATGACAGGCTACAAAGTCATTTTTAAGGCTTTAGGACTTCCATGATTCAGAATGAGAGGCATTATCTACAGATGGAGAAAAACAGAAAACAGATGGAACAATGCTGAACTTTACCAAGACTGACCAGCTCACCAAAATTGCTGAAATAATGTACTGATTGATCCAGGAAATCAAAGAAGATCACAGAACAACATACAAAGCAGAAGAGGCTTCATTTGCCTCTCTCGTGCTCAGCATTCATGATTCAACAATAAGAAAGAAACTGGCTAAACATTGCATCCATAGGAGGGTAAAAACTGAAAAATGGCCAAAAATGTCTTTCCCAAAGACTTTAGGGAAGATAATCTGTGGACTGACAAAGCGAAAGTAGAAGTTTTTGGGGACCGTGTTAACACATAAAGGTCTGAGGCTGCTTCAGGACATGGTCAGATTGATGGACACATGAACTCTGCACTCTTTCAGAAAATTATGAAGGAGAATGTCAGGCCGCCAGTATTGAGCAAAAGGTCAAGAACTTGGTTGTATCCAAAGCACACCATTTTCACTTCTCAATAGACTAAGAGACGGAAAAGACAAAGATCAGACTTTATTCTAGAAGAAATTCCTTCTAATTTTCACATAGTCACGTTGATTTGGATAAATCAGAATGCGGAAAACTACGTTTTAGTTTTTAGGTACATGTCTGATAATCTTAAACATGCAAGTATTGGGAGGGGGGGAGGCATAATAAGTAGTAAAGTCAAATACTTTTTTAAACACTTCAGTGCATGTGAAGGAAGACATAATGAATCTGATGAAAACAATTGATCAAAATCAACTTTACTACACAAGACTAAATCTGACTTCTTCATGCAAACTAATATCAATGTCACTTAGTTTAATAATCCTTAGAGCCAAACATTTCATTCTTGTGTTTATGTTCAGTCTGTAATATGTTCAGTGTTGAGGATGTCAAACGCTTATTTCCGTGTTAACTGGAACTGGTTCTCACTCCAACTTCCTTTAATTGGTCTTTGTCTTTGTGCCCTCTTGGACTCTTATTAGTTTTTTTTCTTCTCCCTCCTGGGGTTTTGATCTAATAACTTTAAAAAAATCTGCTCTCTCAAACCACCAGTAGAAGCTGTAATACCATAAAGACTGGAGCTTTTTTTTTGTTTTGTTTTGTTTTAATTTCTGCTGTAAAATTTACTGTATGTGGGTTTGCCAAGAATTACATAAGATGTTTTTTTTATTTCTCTCACTTTCAAAGTTTGCAACTAGCAGTTAGTTTGTTTATTTTAACATAAAGACAAGAAACGGGGAAGCTCAGCCAGCTTTACTCTGCTAGGAATAATTTCAGCTGATGTAAAGTGACGAAAAACAGTGGAACATAAAAATAAAAGGAGTCAATTGTAAAGTCTATAGTTTTCTTAGAAGTAAACGGTAAATGGTAAGTGTCTTGTACTTGTAGAGCACTTTATCAAGTCCAGATGACTCCAAAGTGCTTTACAGTAGAAGTATTAGTTATAATAGCGTTATAGATTTGTTTAAATCAACTTTAAATCACTTCTAGGATAACATTTTTCAATTGTTGTATGCCAGGTCACAGCTGCTGAATCTTGTAACCTCTCCAGCGTTGTCACAGGTGTCCTGGAGTCCTCTCTCATTTGTCTCTTTCTATCACCGTCACTCAGTTTCTGAGAACGCCTGACCTTAGAAGATTTACATGTTTCATTTTGCTTCCATTTCATTCATTTCATTGCCTCAGAGATTTTCTGTTTCCATCCGTTCGCTTATACTTTTCAGTGACCTGTTCTACGTTTTGCTTGTAGTGCTCTCCTAGTCTTCATGCTATAAGCCAGGAATACTGATTAACCAGTGAGCGGACATCCCAGACACAGATGTCTTTACATTACAATCCTTGAGACACACTCACTGCCCTCAGATGATCTCCGTTCCACTCACTGTGAGATTACAAACAATTGACTCTTGAATTTTTTTTTAATTAGGTCAGTCACTTTAAACAGAGCAACTATTTATACATTTATTATATGTTACATATTTTTATTTCATTGACATTATTTTGTAGAAATCGGTGTTCAATTTGACATTAAAGGACATTCTTTTTGTCAAAATGCCAGATTTTTTTTTTGCTCATGATTGCTTTGTAAAAGCAATACAAAGGTAAAAAGCGTCCAGTGGAGTGAATACCTTTTATAGGTTCCCTCACTTTTTAATCGCAGTCTGTGTAAGCAGTAAACTGATGGTAAAAATAGCCAAAGTCCAAAAGAAAACTGTGAAACGTCCTAGGAAAGCTTGGCTGTTCAAGAAACGTTCGAGATTTCACAAGAAAGTCACCTTTAAGGCACAGTTAAAGTAAAAGAAAACATTTTTGTTGTTGTCACACACTTGATATTCAGATTATATTCTGGACATTCACAGATCAGGATGTATAGCTGTGTTCTGCGGTTTGCCAGGCTTGTTAGTGCAGCTTCTTTAGAGACACTTTTCCTTCTAATTTACACATTGTGAGCTGAACCCTGGAGAGAAGTCACCTGTTACAAACACTGCTATCAGTTTCTTGGCAAGCAAACCGTGTCAGCATCTTTTAAATAGCACACTCCATAATGCGCTGTCTTTGTTCATCTCACTTGTTCCTGGCACTTGAACTAACAGCAGCTTGAAGATGCAGTATGCAACTTATCTTCTCGAGGCTGGTTGTGTGCTGTCAGGACTGCCCTCCTCCTCTGCTGGTCAAATTCTTGTCATTCATCTTGTTGAGCTGCCTAGAAATGTTGCCTCAGGCAGCGGGAAACGGCAGCTGTAAAACCTCCACAAAGTGCTGATTCTTCCCCCCCTTTTCATAACATATTTAGATTTTTTACTTACTTATCCTTCATATTTTCTTATGTTAAGACATAACTTCCAAAAGAGTTTGGGACATTTAAATACTGTTGAAATATGAAGCTCCAGTGATGTTTGGCATACAGATGTTTGTTTGTTTGTTTTTTTTAATCTAGCAAGAATTGAGGACAAGAGGAAACAGTTTAAGCATCAGTAAAAATCCAACATTTATAGAAAATTTCGCAGTTGTTGAAATATACTCAAAATAATCTATAGTTACACGTTTACAAAAGTTATCGATTCAGAATAGTCTGTGCAGTAAAAATATTGCTCGAAGTAAAACATTTGTTTGGTGCTCAGGCAAGTAATTTTAGATATTAGATGTGCCGTCCCTGGCCTAGACGACCATGCCTGATATAGATTGTAAGATTTGAAATCCATAGATAGGATTTGGAGTAGAGCGAAAAAAAAACCCCAACTGATTTACACTTGAAAGTTTTGCTTGTATTAGAACATATAACATAAACAACTTGATTAAATATTCTCAGATTCTTGCAATAATGGTGACTCACCCACCCTATTTCCTTCCCTTTTTCTGTCTTGAAGTCTTCATCCCATTTCATCTGACACATGCTATGATGAGTATTTTCAGCCCTAAGCTCTTTTATATTCCTGCCTTGTTTTGACTTTTATCTTTTGCAAGCATGAAGTTCTTGTTTAAGGAAGCCCCCCCAGGCTGTGACAAAGTGCAGAGTGTGTACGAACATTAGACTGCGTGGGTATTTGTGTGTGTGTGTTTGTGTGTTTCCCACCTCAGGTCATAAAGGTCTTTCTTGTAGCTGTGATGAGTTTACCTCAAATCTGTGCTTTAATCTCAAGAAAGTCTTGAAAAGTCTTTTGGTGTCTAGAAAGTGTTTCCCACCTAGAGCTAACATAGAGAAGGGAAGGTGAGAGAAAAAACAAGTGTGTGTGAGTGAAAAGATGGTGAGGAAGACAGTTTTTCCAATCTAGGTTTTGCTGTCCTGGTGATTGTTATCAGGTTTATACTTAGAATTCTCCATCTCTGCCCTACGGCTGTCTGTTCATCACATTTTCACCCCACATCGACCTCTGGTTCATTTCTCCCCCCATCAGTATTCGAATGCTGTTACCAGGAGGAAGCTGGCGGGGGGAGGAGGAGGAAGAGGAGGAGGAGGAGCACCCTTCGCCTGTCAGTGACAACACAAGTCAAACTGTGCGACTCTGAAGTTGTTTGACAAGATGACTTGAACTTCTCTGTCTAGTCACAGTCAGACGTGATTTTTTTTATTGATCACACGACAGGATTATTTGGAGCATGTTCAGTTTTTAAGAGCTACCGCTCTTTTATCCTTGAAGTTTCCTGAATAAGAACCAGAGGACATGAATTTAGACAGATATGAATTCACTTATTCTGCCGTGCTTCTTGCTTTCCTCCGCTGTGAAGAGTAATGACCTCTGAGTGTTACTATCACTTTTAATATCAGGCACCTGTTAAAATGAAAATATTTGTACTGTTCATGTTTAATTCATCTCCCTGCACTCAGATGAGAAATTTGGTCAGAGAACAGTTTGATTTTATGCGGTAAAGGCTTCGACAGATAAAAACAGAAAAGTTTTTTTTTCCTCATTATTTCCCCAGTTGCACCATGTAGACTGGTTATCGTTGGTGACATTAGCATGGCTTGTTTGACTGAAATAGCAGAGTGTATTCATTAAAGGTTACGTACGCTAACATTGACTATGATTTTTCCTTAAGGAAATATGAGGAGTGAAAGCAAGGAGCCTAGGAACGATAATGTGGCACGGCTGTTAAAAACAAATAGAAAATAATATCAATTTGTTGTAGAGCAATACTCAAGTCACAACATCTGGAAATAAATATCTAACCAAAGTAAATTTAAAACTGTGATGCATAGAGTAGTTTTACAGATGTTACAAAAAACATACAACTGACAAAATGTGCATCAAAACATTGCAGATGAACAAAAAAGACACTTAAGTTCATAGTTTTACCTGATGCAGGTAAATGCAGTAACCGAGTTTTCTGCACACCTCTAATACAATTTGCCTTGCTTTACTAGCAGTGGCTGCTTACTGACAAAAAATGTCTATCTATCTATCTATCTATCTATCTATCTATCTATCTATCTATCTATCTATCTATCTATCTATCTATCTATCTATCTATCTATCTATCTAAGCAAATTATTTAAAAACAACAAAATTTTAATATATAAGCTTAGTAGAAAGGAGACCTGGAGCGACTGTATGTAAAGACGCCTCCTTTCTCTGACTTGGTGAATAATACAAACTACCAGCATTTTGTTCTTTACCTATTAGAAAATTTGATAAAAAATGATCAGGCTCAGTAATTGTCATTATATTTCACTTTTGTTTTCCAATTTCATGCCCAAGTAGTCACCCCATGTTGCAGAGTATACTGCACCATTCAGCCCACGTGAGATTTATAGAAGCAATATGACCGATAACTCCTACCTAAAGTTGGCGCGCCCTCCTCTGTCTTCATCGCCAGGGTTGTTCAGCTCACTTTGAGGCAGTTTTATTTTTCTCTATTGTACGTGGGGCACACTACTTTTATAAAAAGAAAAGCACAGCTATTTATTTCTTTTCTGACCGGCGTAACATACAGTTCTACTTGCTTACAGTATCAGTTTGGATTTTTCCTTATGTTCAAGTAACTTCAAGTTTTGATGGAATAATGCTCTTTGCGGTGCACAGCAAAGAGAATCTGTGAGAAATAAAACAGTTGAGATTTTTTATAAGGATCATATTTTTTTTTATTTTTTGGCTTATTCTTCCAGTCTTTCCTGCATTTTAGTTGTCTCTCTGTTATCTTACCAGAAAAGCATGATGACTTTTCAAACCATTTACTGGGTTATTTATTTGGGGGTAGTATTGGGATTGAAGAACTTGCAACAGACTGTGTTATTTACTGCAAGAACATTTGGCAGGTTTATTTGGAAAGTTTTGTAAGGGCACCACACCTTTGTGCTCCTCTGATTATTTGTTACTGTCTTTGTTTTCAAAATGTCAATAGAAGAGGTAGAAAACAAAGCATCTGAGCTATCCTGGTCCTCCATTATAATTTTTTTTTTTTTTACAAAACAATGCAGAAGCATTGGTAAAAAACAATCAATTTTAGATGGGGCAGTTTAATTTTCAGTCGAGATTAACTCATCAGTTAAAGCCTGGTTTTGTCTACAACAATTGCACAGATCTATATTCTGTCTTTTTAATGTAACTCCTGGTCTTTTCTCCCTCCTCTTTGTATCCGTTGCGGCAGGATGATTGTGCTGTGAGAATTGGAGAATATGGTTTTTCCTGTGAAAAAATGTGTACTCGGTGTCCATTATGAAACCTCAGGGAAGCCAATTACCCTCCCGTCTTACTGAGGATTTCATGGATCAGGCGTCGAAAAGAAACTCTGAAAAATCTCAATTTCATGCAGCTTTTGCACTCCTGTGATGATCCAACTTTTCTTCATTTTCTTTTTCATCTTTATTCTTACTCTACGTTTCCTCCAAACCTGTTCTCTGTGTCTGCAGGGCCAGTATTGTCCAGAAAAGAGTCATCTTTTTCCAGGATCAGGGCTCTCTCACCATTCGACTGTGTGAGAAAGGTAATGACAGCTGCCCATCTTCTCTTTCACTCTGTCTTTTCCAGCTCATTTTTACAACCTAGACTTGTCATCATGCGGCTATTGTAGCCTTCTCCGAATGTAGTATTTCCCCTCTGTTCTGGTTCAGATAACCTCACACCTCCCTCATCATGTTTTAAAAACTACATGGGAGAAAATTTCTCTATAAATATACAAAAAAAAAAAATACTACTGACATGAAATTTGCACCAGATATTTGTAAGAACACTAACAATCCTCACATTCAGAAACATCAAAACAAATTAATTCTTGAATTAAGTAATGGCTGAAATAGTAAAATATATATAGTCTAAAAACATGAGCATTAGGTTAATGGGTCTCTCTCAACTTTTCTGCATTCATGGTGCGTTCATGGTTGTTTGTCCTTTGTGTCTTTGTATTGTCCCTTGATGGAATGACGTCCAGAGTGTACCCTGCCTCTCGCCCAGTGACTCCTTCAGATAGACATAGATATATTTTTTAAAACAAATAATGTCAGTAGTATGCTGTTTTGTATGTAGCTGTGTACTAGGGATAAATGTCTTGCATCTTCAGATTATTATCAAGAATGTTTTATTAGATTTCTCCTTTCATCCATCCTTCAATGCTAGTAGTCCACAGATAGCACAAAAACCAGTCCCTCTACATAAATTACATGTACAGGTCTAGGGAAAGAAGAAAGGCAGCCAGCATCTCTGCAGACCATACACATCCTGGACACAAACTGTTTAACCCTCCCACAGTCCTAACAAAACACTCAGGAAGCATGAGGCGGATGTCACGGCCAGACTGTGAGATCACCGGGGCAATTTCTGAGGTTTTATGTCAATTGTATTTCCGCAAAAAAAGAATGCGTCACCATTTTTTTTTAAATCTCTTAAAATCAGCACAACGGTCTGGTAAGATGGTACACTCACAGGCGTCTCTCAGCTCAAACGCAAACATTCATTGTACATTGAAAGCCGTATCTGGTTGAATGGTTTTATCATGCTGAATCTCAGAGGATTCCTGTCTTCATAAAGCTTTTCACTACACACTAAAATCTAATTTTCCATGCTATTGCGCAAGTCAATCAAGCCACCCTGCTTCCATTTTCTGACATAAGCTAGGTGCTTAAAGTTTGACTCGCCTTTCTGCAACTTGGATGTCAGGAGAAAATTTCCACTAAATAATTGGGTGATTCATAAATATTCAAACTATCGCCTTGACCTATCTTTCAGAAACATTGGTCCAGGGCAAAATTAGAATATTTATGAGTCTGTGTGTCATTTCTTTTCTCTTCTTTTCCTGCTTGCTAGATTCTTACCGCCTCTTATCGCTATCAGTCATCATTTAAATTGACCCAAGTAATTGTTTATCAGGATTGTACACCCTAATAACTTTGAAATAGTTTTGTTTGAGTGGAGTTTTGTACTTAAATGCACTATCTTTCTGTTTAGCAGACAGAATTCATGTAAATCAGTCAAAAGTCAGTGAGTTTCCCATTGAACGTTTGTAAAAAGGAACAATATTATGTATTTTACAGGGACTTTTGGTCTGACCATTCATGTGGACCAGATTAAATAATCTGCTTTTTTCATATTGTAGTCATTTCCTGACTTCTAGGTTTCAGTATATCCATCCACCCATCATTTTATGTTTCCTGGTTAAATATATGAGAATATACTAGAATAATAGCTGACTCAGGAGGATCGTTTAATTTCCTCTCTAGTGTGATGCTTACTTTGATTGGTTTTGGTGCTGACTGAACCCATCCTATTAAAAAACCTGCACTGTTATTTAAGCAACAGCCAATGTTTTCCCACAGAGTATCTAGAGCTTAGGTTTTGTGTAGAAGTTGTTTATTTGCTTTCCACTGAAGCTGAAAAGAATGAGGTCACAAATGATTCAAAACCTACTTACAATGTTACCTTAAGTTGGAAAATATTAACAGTTTTATCATGGTATTATTTAGGTTACTGGTCTGTGGATTTGTTGTATTATTTGAGTATTTGTGTTTGGTATCTTTCACATCCCGTCTCCCTGCAGAGCGTGTTCCCGGTGAAGTCACAGAAGTACCTGCAATCGAATGCTGTGCTTGTGGAACTGCTAAATATAGACTTACCTTCTACGGCAACTGGTCAGAAAAAGTACATCCAAAAGATTATCCAAGTGAGTAATTATAGCAATCCGGGCCCAACACTCACACACACTCTGTGTCTGATTAGTTTGTTCCTCACAGTGACTGGTGTGAACTTTTCTTTTTCTTTTTGTCTTTGTTATCCTGGACTTAAAAGGCAATTCAAATGGCCTGAAGAATCAGAATTTCCTTTGACATTAACCATTATGCAATGTTCTAATGACATCCATTATTAGTTAGTCTCACAGAAGAACTCTCTTCAACTGATTCATCTTATATAAAGCTTCAAAGAGTAAAAAAAAACGTAGGAAAGTTCTTTGGGAAAACAGTTCAATCTTTAAGGTTAGCTGTTTAATTTGTATGATTTAAGGATGCCTATACCCTTAGGTAAAGCTATGACTCTTTGACTTGCCATATCAAAATTAGTCTTTTAGTCATAGGTTGGCTGGTTTTTGTCTTTTTGGTTTTTAAGTTACTGACAGAGAATCCATGTTATTGTCTAACATCTTTCACAAATGAGTAATTTCAGTGCTAAAGCTCCCATCTCCTTTAGGACGTGCCAACCACTGGTCTGCCCTGATTGGTGCGTCCCACTCCAGGAGTTATGTGCTGTGGGAATATGGCGGCTTTGCCAGTGAAGGAGTTCGACAGGTGGCTGAACTCGGCTCCCCCATCAAGATGGAAGAAGAGATTCGGCAGAAGGTAAGAATGGCATTCATTTTCACTTTTTAAGTTTTATATTTTCATCTCCACAAACATTTGCTGTCATTATGACCGAATAATATATTCAGGTATTTTTTGCCCTGAGAACAACATTTGACTTATCTTTTTACATAAGATAAGGACTTTTCTTTTTCAAAATGTAGGGCCAGTCATTATCATTCACTCTTTTTGCTTTTAAGCTTTCTATGTATATATTTTTAGAGGTTTTTAATGAGCCAACACAGTCTAACATTTTTGAATGCTCCACACACAGACACACAGAAAATTGGTCAAAAATAAAACCTAATATTTTGGCATTACTGTAAAAATCTTCATGCTGGTATTTACATGAAGATGGGGTGTTAAATGCTACTCTTTTAATTAACAATTCTAGCACATTGCCAGCACATAGCCATCAGTCCTGTTGAAAAGAGCAGCAGTCTTTATTTTTCTGATGTAAGGATACTGAAAACCTGCTTGTCAATATAATTTGGTATCAATAAATTACACTTGGAATATAAGCAATGATCCAGTTTTTAATGGCTTTGGTTGCATGGAGGTAGGTTTTATCCCTAACCTTTGTTATCATGTATCAGATTGTGTTATAAACCGTTCGCTTAGCTAGTCATTGCCACCCTCCACAAGGAGAGCGGAGGAGCCACAAAAGGTCATTGGTAAACAAGTTGTTTGCTCACAGCTTACATGCATATTGATGGAAAGTTAAGTAAAAGGAAAGTGTGGTGGAAAAAGATTCACAAGCAGCCTTTTTTTTGTTTTTGTTTTGCTAATTATAGCAGTTGGAAAGTGTCGGTCACTGTGCTTCCTGGGTATAAATGTTGCATGGATTCCTGTTATTCAAACATTGCTTGTTTCATTGCTTGTTTCTTCCTGTTTTGAATTTGAGTTTTATGTTGGACTTCTCAGCAGTGCTTTTGTTACCTTCGAATAAAACTGCTGGCTAATGTTCATCTTGGTACTCCTACATTCTACATCGGCGCTTTCTTTTAAAATCTCATATTTCATTGTATTGCAGTTCAGCAAGTTTACCTAAAACCTTTAGAAAAAATCAAGTTCTTTCAAAAAGCTGTTATGATGATTTTCAAAATAGGAACAGGGAAAAATGGTGGAAATGATTGTTGATGGCAAATGGTAACAGTAATGGACTGCATTTAAAAACCTTTTACTAAATACAAAAGGACATTGTATAAGGTTCTTTTCACTTACACAGAGAACAGCACCAAACAGACCCGCAGACAGTCAATTTAGTTGTCGAGTTCACATATTAAAGACCAGCCTCACCATTCTGGCATTTAAACAGTTTTTAATCCGTGAATTAAAACTTTAGGATTGAGTAAAATGACGCTAATAGTAAATTAGTTCAAATTAACATGTGCTGCAGATTTATCCCAGTTTGACGTGGACGTCTATGTACTGCCACACACACGCTCCTTTTTCTCCTGGCTCTAAAAGGTGTGGGCAGGACATTTCAGATGGGAACAATAGTGAGTTGTTACAGGACTGTTGGCGAGGTGTGTGCCTGTCAGTTCAGGTTTGGGCTGCTGTGTGGAGACGGTTTATGCTGACAGAAAGCCCTAACCCCTCTGTTGGCTGGCTTGGTCTTTCTCATGAGCTAAAAACCAGCAGAAGACAATGAAAACTTCAGCCTGTTTCGCTGAAAACATTTGATGGCTTCATTGTGCTCTGTAGGCTGGAATGCTAGCTGTCGAGTTGGAAGGAGTAGTTCGACTTCAGTAGTCTTTCATGTGAGGTTACAGCAGCAGAATGGTCTTTCCAACGGGACACATCTATTTTGGTTTGTACAATAAATTCCAGTTTCTGTAATGCGTACTCCCCAAACACAAACCCTAAGACTGTAAAACTAAGTGATTTCAAAATAAAATCGGGGCCTTTCTCTACGGAGATAAAACTTAGGATGAGTTCAGATTTATTCAGAACATCGGCAAGATCCAGCTTTAACGTAATGGTAACAATTTATTTGAAGGGGGTTGAATAAGACTGACATGACACTGCCATGAACATGAATAAGCCTTCATGAATATTTATGACTGTTGTCATAAAGCATCATTTAGTCAATTATGACACTTTTAATACAAAGTTGACATTATTCAAAATGTCTTTGTTATGACAACTTGACATTAACCAAGAAATCATTACTGATATAAATTTGTTATAAAAGTATTACTGATTGCACTTTAAAAATTAGGTAACTTTATGTTATTAAAGGTAAAGTTTAAACAGTAATGATTTCCTGGTTAATGTCAAGTTGTCATAGCAAAGACATTTTGAATAATGTCAACTTTGTATTAAAAGTGTCAATTTACCGAATGACGCTTTATGACAACAGTCATAAATATTCATGAAGGCTTTTTCATGTTCATGACAGGAGTTTATGACAGTGTCATGTCAGTCTTATTCAACCCCCTTCAAATAAAGTGTTACCAAAGTAATTTTTACATTTTATAAGAAAGGGAGCTAAAGATCAGGATGATGGCAAGGAGGCCAACCATCCACAGAGATTTGAAGATCATTACCAAACATAAAACCAGTAGAGAAGAGCAACGACTCAGTCAGTGATTTTATGAAGGGCATGATTGTGGTAATACTTAAAAAAGAGATTGTCACGAATCATTGAGAGGAGTATGAATAATTTTAGATTAATTTTAGCATAACTTTGGGCTTAACTGTATCCGTTTTGCAAGTCCTGCTAATGACCATATTAATTTGGTCAAGTGTATTTAGAAGCAAAATATCTAAAAGTTACAGGATGTCAACCCTCAAAGTTTGGAGTGTAAATAAACATCCAGCTAATATATCAATCAATCAGTTGATTATTTTTTTAAGATACTATTGTTTTTACTTTTTTTATCCACCTGTAAAAGAAATATGAAACATTTCAGCTAATACATGGATACTGAAAGAAATGTTAATCCATTTGGCTTGTTGTTCTTCAAAAGGAGAGGCATGTTATCCTCTGTTACCAAGGCAAAATGAAGGATTGGTGTAAAGTCAAATATTTTAAGTAATTGACTGGGCTTCCTTGTAGTTCTGTTTTACTAATTAAAGTTTTATGATAAGCTGCATTGATTGAACTGAATTTGGACAGTATCATATTGAATTGTTTGTAATTTAATCTGAATCAGGTCTTGTGGTTCTTTGGTTTTCAAATAAAAGGTGTCAAGTTTTATGGGACTGGGTTCTGTACACAATTGACTGACAACTCAGCAACTTTCATTGTCACATATTTGAAGGAGTTGATTTTTTTGTCATGTAAAGAAACTGTCTGACAGAAATCTTCAGTGATTTTTAAAATGCATAATAGCTTGAAAATGAAACCATACTCACCACTGCTGATCTGTAGTTGGCAGCTTAAATCAAAAGGAAAGCAATTTAAAAATGAGGAAATGACAATGAAAAACTAACAATTCACTGCTTAGAAGAAAAACTCTCAGCCAGGTGGCTTTTAGAGGTAAGAGAGTTGAGGGGATTTTTAATCAACATTGAAAACAAGACAAAAATCAAAAGCTGTTCACCTACACAAATACTCTTTTTCAATTCACTGAGTTTTTGGAGTTCCGGCTGGGCACGCATTGGAAAGTCTGCTGTAAAGGTGGGAAGCCGACATGGGTCAGTAATTCCAGTCTTAGCAGAGAATCCCAACCATCCAGAAGAGCAATCAGCTGTGGTGAATTGCGGACAAAGCCTTAAGACCCACATCTCCAGCCGAGTGCTGACCGGCACTCCTATAACTAAGAGGGCTAAGCCTGCAACAACACCAGCAGACATCGCAGACAGACATGAGCAGACACACAGGTGCTAAAGAATGACAAGAGCTGAGTGCTTTCACTGTAATGATGTGAGTACAAACCCAGAAGTTCTCTTGCAGAAAAGCGCTTCCTTAGACAGCAGGAGGACGTTGTATCTGAAAGTCTGCTCGCACAAACGAATTACCTGTGAGAAATTGCACACAGGTGTTGTCTAGAAGAAGCAAATATTTAGCAGCTGAATATGATGTTGACATAACAGCTTGCCCCATCTCACTAATGTAAACCTTGAGAGAATCGAATGGAAAGTTTTTATTTGCACCATTACTCAGCAGCCACGATTTAAACGATTCTCCGTTGGATTGTTGCCTTAAGTTGAGCTTGGCTAATACACCTCCTCATCAAACACTCTTTGCTAGGCGTCTGAGCGTCAAGGTCCAATGAACACAATTCATCATGTAGAGACACGTGTAAAATGTGTGCGATTAAGACCATTTTCAAGTCTCCAGGCATCAGTTTGTGCTGCAGCTCATGCGGTTCTTCAATCAAGTCGGACTTAGTGGCATGCAGTAAGCGATCAAATGTGCAAGCATCCTTCAAATCCTTTACTAAGTTTACCAATGTCTTAAGGTGGAAATTCTGCATCTACGACAGATTAACTCTCATTCAAAGCATCTCAACAACAACAACAACAAAAAATACTTATTTTGTATCCTTTTTCAGTACTTCAGTTCAAAAAGTGAAACTTTTTTCATAATTCGGTGTTGGAGAACCTGGATACAGGCACACTGGAGGTGGAAAAATATATAGAGAGGGTTTAATAATTAAGCAAAGACGCTTACAAAAATGACACCTGGAGAACAGGACATGGAATCAGTGAGCTTAACAAAAGAAACTAGCAATGAACAATGAGAAAACCAAGTGAAGCTATAATCAAAGAGAGAATTAACTAACACTAAAATAAGAGCCTAAACCAAAGTGCAAAGAAAATAGAAACATATGGGGCGACATTAAACAATAAGGGGATGAAAACTTCATCAGTGTTAGTCACGTCACGTCTGTGGTCACAATGTTATGCTTGATCTCTGTATGTAAGGTAAACTACTCTATGGTACAACAGATTGAAATTGAAACTAAAGGTACTGATGTCCGCGGGTTAAGAATAGACTAGTAAGTCAGATTTTGACCTACGTTTTTAATATCACCTCTCAAGGAACA